TCTCTCTCTCTCTCTCTCTCTCTCTCTCTCTCTCTCTCTCTCTCTCTCTCTCTCTACTTTTGTTTCATTCTCCAATGAAAATCGCACGGACGCCGCAGTGGGCGAGGCAGTGTTAGCCGCTTTTTTCATCTCTAAATTAAACAAACATAATTAATTTCCGCCCTCGCGCCCGCGGCCGCGCTCGCGTGGAAGCGCGCGGAAGGTTAAATCCATTACATACATAATACTACTCTACTCGCGACTAGAGGCCAAGCCTTTTTATTTGCGCACGAAAGCCGCCCGCCGCCGTTTCCGACGGCGATCAATCATTTCGCGAGCGGAGTGGAACAGTTTCACCTCGTAACGCCGCGCTGCCGCGCCGTGTCGTTATTTTCCAAATCGCGCTGCAACATCGCGCTGGAAGTCTTCGGTTTCCCCGACAGCGCCGAGGCAATAAATTAAATAATGCGAAAATCAAAAAATATCACAGAAGTAGTGAAAACTCCGAACGTTCCTCGTATCAACATTTCGTACCTCGAATTACGCTTCTTGTCCTTGTATTTTTTATTTTTCACTGTAAAATGAATTATATAACATCTAACATTAGGCCATACATTTCATAAAAATTTATTTAAATTGTCTCGCTGCATAAGAAAACTTAAAAAAATTATTACACTTAGTTATACTGAGAGAAAAATACTTGAAAATTTATTCACAGAAATAAACTTTATATCTCACAAATAAATGCTCGAGTATTTTTTTTCATCAGTGTACAGTTTATAAAAAAGTTCTAAGTAACTTGTGATATCCAACACAATTTGCAAATATACTTTCTTTCGTGAAAAACGTTAACTTTGGAGACTATTTAGAGGCTATTAACATTTCGAATTACTAAATTTCGCTAAAAGAATACGTTTGACTTTTACTAGCCTGTAATTATTGATCATCTTCCGTTTAATTAAAAAATCGCTTTAAACAAAAATAAATGTATGAAAAGTTATGAATAATACAAAATCGACAAAATATGCAAAACGTGGCAATCGTATAGCATTTGAAGCAGCAGAAACGTTTGTTGAAGTCATCTAGCGTAGTCTCCTATAAACAAAAGACATATCTACGTGCGATAACAGAGTAACATTTATATTATCACAGAACGATAAAAATATTAAATTAAATAAAAAAAATATTAAAATTATTTAAAGATAACTTTCAAGCTAAATTGATTTCTGATATAGGAATACTAACATATATCTGCTTTTAAAGACTCATAACAATAAATATCTACTATTAAAACACGCTTTAGAAGAAAGCTTATTCGTTATCATCGACAAGATGTTATTAAAAACCGTTGACTCCGAGTATATTTTTGTGGCTACCAATAAGGTCCAGGGATAATTAAACAACGCTGACTATACTAACTGTTTGATCATCCAAGATAAATATTTACTTGGAGGGTGGCCGTTAAAAACAACGATCACTCACAAAGGACATACATATATCCACCTTTCATGTAGCGCGTAATTATTTACGAAGAGCGTATAATTATTACATAATATTAATACAGAAGAATATAATTATATATATATATATATATATATATATATATATATATATATATATATTAAAATAAATTATATATTTACATCTATATATAAATATCTTTAATAATTATAATCAATTGATGTCGCAAAAAAATATTTTTAAAAGATACAGGGCGTGAAATTTTTACGAAGAGCGTATAATTATTAAATAATATTAATACAGAAGAATATAACATACATAAGATTTCTCTATTTTTTCATGTACGTATACATTCACGATTATAATCAATATATGAAATTGTACAAAATGAAAAACTGCCTTTTCTCCACAATCTTAGCGGCAAGGTTTATTGAAATAATTCTAGTAGAGTACAATAAAATATATAAACAATACTGTCGAAGGAAGATATTTCTGGTCGAGATTTGTACGAATATGTATCGATGACCGAAAGTTAGCGATACGAAAACCAGTTATAATACACATGGATGTCTACGGAAGTAGCATATCAGGGATGACGGAATATTCGATAGGTTCTTCCTGAGACACCATCAGGATAACTGAATCGAATACAAAATCAGAAGCAATCAATTGTAAGGAACATTGTTAATTTTAATGCCTTACAATTATGCGAATAATTCATATATGTTGCGTATTTATTCATATTATTGTAATGAAAAAGTATATAAAAAGGAAAACTGTATCTAATATTATTAAAGAAAATAAGAAATATTAATTCTTTCTCCCGTAAATTATCCGCATAAATATTTTCAGTGGTTTCGCCTCAATTTCCTGAAAGAAAAAAAAATTTAATATTATCTGTCTGATATCAGAGAATTCAGATGTTTAACTTTGTAAAATAGGAGAGAAAAGAAATTTTGCTAAATATATTTTATTTTGTAGCATAAGAATACTATACTTATTTTATAGTATAAATATACTACAATTAAGTAGATTATACTCTCTCAACAATAAGAAAGAGAGAAAGACAGAAATATGCGACTTATGGATTCTCCTCGTCTTTTTGCAAGCATGAAGCAGTTAAAACATGTAACCGACTGTTACAAAAGCAAGAAAGCACGAAGAATCTTACTCACTTATTCAAATTGGGTTCTTTGTATTCTATCGTCGCCCTTCTTCGTCTAGGTCGATCGGAAGTATTGTTATCACTTTTAGAAACTCGCGCATTCCCCTCCTGATTGGACGCAGTGTCGCTCCTACAAATTCGAAGCATCGAAGATGAGAATGACGTATGCGAGTCACGATTTACAAAAAGAGAAAAGACTTCTTTCGTACATCAATCGCAAAACAATTTGAATTTATACGTACACATAGCCATTGCTTTGAAATATATCGTCGGGGGACGGCGTCCTCGGCTTAACATTAGATTCGTTGAGCTTCTCTAAAACAACTTTCGCCGCGCTCGGGTCCTGACTGCTTTTCTGCTTTATCCTTTTGCTAACCGTCATATTTTCAGCGTGGTTCATATTGTCTTTCGGATTGAGCAGTTTTGTCTTCTTATTCTTATTCGAATGCTTACCCTTCTCGGGTGTGGAAATTCTATCGTGATCGTGAACTAAAACTAATGGCAGCTTTATCGTGGTAGTAGAGTCGATCTCCGGCTCGTTTGCGCTTTGATTCGATATCGATGGCATTCGAAAATTCGTTATTCTTTGTATAGCAGTGGTCACTTCGCTATCAATGTCGTTGGCGGCGATAGTAGGATTTATTATGGAGCCCTCCAAAATGGGTAACCGCAGTTCATTGATATCAAAATTCAGACTTCGCATCGGTGGGCGCGACATCATCAAGGTGAAGTCCTCAGTTTCCTCTATAACCGCAGAATTCCCGCGCCTCATTGTGATAAAACGCGCCATGTTCGTCGTATTGTCGTCCTCCTCGTGATCGAAATTCCTCTCGCGACCGAATGCTGTCGACGTTGGAAGTATCGCGCAAAAAGTATCGTCTATAGCGTCTTCGTCAAGGGAATGATCATTCTTGATACGATCAGCAATAAATGAGCCTTTGTTTAAAATTTCCATATTGGTCAAGTCTGGCAATGGTGGTAACTCGTCTTTTGCGTCTTCAGAGTCGCTTGATTCATCACTATACGTTGTTGTTACTTTCGAATTGCTATGAGACGCACGATTATTGATATCGGTGACGTCCGGATGATCCAGCTCTGTCGCGTTATCGTCCGATATACTTATATTGTCTAGTAGCCAGCTTGGACCTTCCAGCGGGTCTTGCCAAGTTTCGACATTGTTCTGTGATAGTCTCGAATTTTCCGATACGTTCGAATTCTTATTCCAATCCTTTCGAGGATTTTTTTCCTTCGTTTGTGCATTGGAATGTTTCGGTGTTTGCGCGTACCCTTCATCTACCTCGTCTAATTTAATAGACAATTGTGTCTCGGGTATTACAACGTTTCTGTCAGATGTATTGTGAGGCCCGTCATCGCTACTCTCTTGCATTTCAACATCATCAATCTTATTGTCATCGATCAGCTATGGAAACAATGATTGATGCGTTGATTAGTGTATATCAGTGCCCGGAATTACTTGAACTTTCGGGCCGATTTTCGAGTTAGTTTCCATACATTTGTTTCAATTATTGCTAAGTGTCTTATAAACATTACGATATCGAGATGAGCCTGAGGCAGTGCACCGTGCCTGTCAGTCGCTGAAGAAGCAAGGGGAAGTAAATAGGCGTAGCTCTTGAAAGTCGGCCCAAAAGTTTGAGTAATTCCGGTCACTGATGTACGTGATACCTCTAGCTATAGGAATACTAACATTAAAAATTAAAAATAAATAGCATACGGTATAAGAGATATTCCTGATATATGGAATGAGTCAATAATTATTAACACCTTGAATATCTTCAAATTTATTAAAAAAAAAAAGAATCATTATAAAAGATTTCTTCTAAGGTTGCATTCCAAAACATCCTTTTTGAGAAAATTTTACTCTATAATATATATAATGTGAACTATAGATACCGAGTAAAATTTTTTTCAAAAAGAATGTTTTGAAATGCAACCTAAAAGTAACTTCGAAAATCTGAAGATTAATTTTGTTTCTTGCTTCAAAAATATTCAAGGTAATATTTATTGCCATATTTTATATGCAGTCTGATGCAGTGTTCCATATTTTGTGTACATGTAGATTAGGTTAAGCCATTTTATAAATAACCATGTAGACTTCTAGTTATTAATTAAAGAACATTGGTGCATTATCTTCCTCTCTCTCGCACGATCATGTGCTAATCTCCTTTAATTAATGACTGGAAAATTTAATATAGTTATTTGCAAAATGATATAGTACTTTTTTATTCAGTTTAACACTTTGCGTTAGACACTGCATACAGACAAGATACTCACCGTCCTAATATTGATACTTTGAGAATTCTGTAGTAATTTGGAAACATCATTGAGTTTCACTGTGGGACTGCTCAATTGACTAACATATTCTGTGCTATTTCGTGTACTTTCCCCAGACCATCTATTCGACCTCGAAAATGATCCTGACATTCTTCTTGAACGACTTTTCTTTTTCCTCAATCTTTGTTCACTATCCTCTGCAATTATATTTACATATAAACAATTATATTAATTAAGAAATAACAAGAAAAATGTAGATATTAATATATGAAATTTGTCATACTGTTTACTCGAGGTGAAGAAACCGCCAGTCTTTCTGGCAATCTGCATGTACGACCATTTTCCTGAAACAGTTGTTGCTGTAAAAAGTACTGATAAAAAGTTCTCACTTGCTTCTTAATTAATATGTGACTCAACAGCACATATAAAGCACAAATTTTTATATAACACACGTACATATCTGCGCAACTGCGTGATAGGTATGGAAACAGCGATTGGTGATCTAGTCTCATTGATATCTTCACTTCTATCAGGTGTGGATACTTCTTGTATGTCACTCAGTCTCGACGTATTAGTAATATTTTGCATATTAACTCGACTTAAGTTAATTGTAGGTTTTGTGATAGTGTGCCCACTTACCATAGGCTTCACTACACCTCTAGCTGGTGATTTAGTTGATAACCTTCTGAAGGATTCTTTTCCTGAAATATCTCAGTGTAAAGATAAGATACTATAAAGTAACACATAGTAATACAGACAACACAGTGTATAAACAGATTACAGATATAAGTTTCAGGAAGAGATCTTGTAATCAGCAACATATTTGTATCACTTACTTCCCGATGAAACAGATGATAATCTCATATTAGTATTGGAAGCAGTAAATTCCTGACATATAGAAATAGTATTTGTCATGTAACCAGACATAGTAACCAACATTTTCAACATTTCTTTGGCGTTATTAAATACATTAGAAATCACATTCTGAAACAGATGAATTATATAAATAAATATATATATATGTTCTTCTCTTACAACTATATTGATCAGTAACGATTATACTTACATCTCGTGTTGTGCATGCTAAACGTAGCTCCTGTACTTCTGCTATTAAAGCAAGATTTTGTGAGAACAGTGACTGACAATTTTGCTTTTCCAAAGAAAGTGCTTTAGCCAGATAACTGTTGTTGTTTTTTAACTTTTCATACACTGCAAAGGAATGAACTTATTACTAAAGTAATAGCAAGACAGTAAAACCCATCAAGGTAAAAAGCAGCAAATAAGATCTATAAGATCAGCAACTAATAGAGAACATGAACTCACATGGTCTATATGATCGTTCCTTGCCATACTTTTTCAAATACTGTGTTCGTTTAGTAAGCAAAGCTGCTCTCTTAGCTTTCCGATGTATTGGCATTTGTGGCATGTTGTATTTAACACTTCAAACAGCACATGTATACACCACGTAACAAGTAGACATTTAACACAGAGATTAATATTAGATTTAAAAGTTTACCTATTTCAACTTAGTCCCTAATTAACTTATTTCTCATTTTGATATTTTATGTTCGTCATGCGGAGATAAAATATTACACGATTAAACAATTGTTTATCACAGCACTTTAACAGTACGATTAATGTTACGATTAGCTGAGGAAGATAAAAGTATAATCAAGTGCAAAGAGAGAGAGAGAGAGAGGGAGAGAGAGAAAGAGAGAGAGAGAGAATCGATAAAGGTTTTATCCTTTCAATTATAATCAGCGAAACATCTGTGTGGTACTTCCGTTTACGAGAACGCTTGTTTACAAATTTTTACTTGGACGATATCGTTACACAGTTTTGGTACAGAATGTTTTACCATATTTCTCTGTTATTCCGCCATTACTTAAATCCGCGTTGTTGAGTACGTTGAAGAAAAAACGTATATATGGACACTTCCGCTAACGGTTAAACCAATCATACAGATCAGGGTCCTGATTCTCGAAAAATATCGCATACGATATTTCTATGAAAAGCTATAGTTCATGTTACGTATATTATAGCTTTTCATAGAAATATCGTATGCGATATTTTTCGAGAATAAAGTTCCAGGAGTAGAAAAGTGTAAATGCTTTTTCACTCGGTAAGAATTTCACGATGCATCTGGATTTTCGATAGCACAATTTAGATATATTTCACTTGGAGCCGTTTTTCCAACCTCTCGGTAAATTAATTAATAGTTAAATCATATGCCTGTCTTTGTCTAATTAAAAAGAAAAATAAAGAAACATATAATTTAACTTTAATTTACCAAAGGTTGGAAAAATTAGCCCTAAATTGGCCCTTATTATTCTTGGTAGCGATCATGTAAATTTCTTACGAAATGAAATGTGAAAAATGACAACTTCCAAATAAATTCGACAATTCTGGCCATCATATATACATTAACTTTTCCAAGTGTGCAACTTTCTACGTAAAACTTTACACTCTTCATGTTACGTTTCTAGGAAAAAGCTACAAGAGTCAATTTGCTGCTTTTGCGTAAGTCCCGATTCACAAGAAGTGAATCTACTAAGCTTTCAGCCTTAAGAAATTGACCAATCACAGTCAAATTTGAGGAGAATAATCGGTTGTGATTGGTTAATTTCTTAAGGTTTAAAGCTTACTACACCTATTGTGGCTCGGGACTTAAGCCAGTAACACACGGTGCTTGTTTTCGTGCTGGATTGCTTGCTGGATGGAAATACTCTGTTTTGATTGGTGTATTTCCATCTATCTTCAGAAATGCACCAATCAGCAAGCAATCCAGCATGAAAACAAGGGTTGCTTACGATATCGAGTGCAGAGCGAGTGAGAACTGGATCTGAGAGAATAGTATATATTCTCATCTGTAACTAATATATTCTATGGCTGCTCTTGCTCTGCTCTGTTCCAGTAATGGATTTTGGCAAGATATTCGCCGTCCCAGGCAGTGATGGATTTTGGCAAGAAATGTCTCGCGCATGCGTACAGAGCAAACGCTCGGAATCCTCACTGACGTATATACTTTTGTCAAATCTGAGGTATCGTTAGGGTTCTGCGAGAAAAGAAATGTGAAGGAATTAGCAGGAGAAAGGAAAATTACTTTGATAGGAATAGAGTGCAAGTAATATGAATAATAATAAGGAAATTGACATATTTGTTATTTACTGTAATATTGGAATACTCTCCTTTTTGGTTTCTTGCTCCTTTTCTCGATGCCACTTGATGTCGGCTGCTGCGGATCATCCATCTTCTTTGTTCTAACAAATTTATTATTTTTTCAGCTATTCACTCAGTACACGTTGACACTTGTTTATAAACACACATGAGAACGATACAAGGGCCCCTGATAGCACCTACTACTGCACTCTAGATACATTTCTGAAGGCAGCTGATTTCTAGTTGTGACGTCACTTACGCATGCGCACGAAGCTTCCTGAGACGGCGAATATCTTGCCAAAATCCATCACTGGTCTCAAGTCTGGTGTAGTTTGCAAAAATGACGCTCTTGTATCGATCTATCAGACAGTTTGCGAAAAATTTAATTTTCCCTGAACCTCACAGGAGTATATCATTTTCTGCAACCGCGCGTTTAAGAGAAAGTAAAATTATCATTAAATATTACGTATAAAATATAAGACACAACTTTAACTAATTCTAACCTTCACACATTTCCGTATCACAATGCCAAGTTTATATTTACATTTAACTTTTTATCGTAGTTATTACAAACAAGGAAGGTAACACCTTAACCATCGAGGGTGCAAATGTATCAGAAAAAAATGCACATCGACAATTAAAACTGAAATCAAATGCCTGTCCTCTTTGTGCTACAGGACTTGATGTCAAGCACACAGTAAGTTCTATAATGATTTATGTAGTAATATTAAATTTATTAAATCTCTAAAGTTGTCCTTTCGTTTTTCTTAGGATGTTCTTATTCTAAGTCAGTTTGTACGATCAGATGGTTGCATGTTGCCACGTAGGATAACTGGTCTATGTAGTATACAACAAAAAAGGATAGGTATTATGGTAGCCATGGCTCAGAAAGCAGGTTTGTAAACATTTATCCATCTTATCTTCATATATATATATATATATATATATATATATATATATATATATATATTTTTTTTTTTTTAAAGTAAATTGCAACAGATAATCTAGTTTTGTTTCTCTTTGTTTTTCTTCTTCTCAGGCTTGATGCCATCATTAGCTCCTTCATGGAGCAAGAAAGATCCCACACGTAGACATAAGTGGAAAAAGTATAATACATACTTTGATGAGGATACCATTAAACAAAAATATTGGGTCTAATTGAATATACAATGTATGTAACTAAATAGCATATATATTAAATAACTACTATTTGATTAATCACATTAAATTCATTAATTTGCTCCTCTTATTCCTGCCAATGTTGAATTAAGAACATCTTAGTATTTGATAGAGAGATAGATATAGAGTTTAAAATTATATAGTTTGAACAATATTTATAGGAGTGATGGAATCATCATTGACAACATCGTGATCAAAGAAAAGTTTTGATAACTTAATGCACATAATTTCTTTAAAAAATATGAATTTTTAAATATTGCGCAAACATTTTATACGAATAGCACGTTTGTCATTTGTGGCCTGTTCTTTTCAGCTGCACTGCTGAACTGGTGCAATAAGTTAAAGTAAGACAAGTATATGTTTTCTCACTCTAACTTATTGCACCAGTTCAGCACTACAGCTGAAAAGAACAGACCATTGATCTGTCCTTTTTGGATGTACTACTGAACTGGTGCAATAAATTAGAGTGAAACAAATACACTTTTTCTCACTCTAACTTATTGCACTAGTGCAGCAGTGCAGCTAAAAAGAACAGAGATATGCCTACATTTATCGGCGAAATTCCTAACCCCCAAGAGAGAGAGAGAGAATTTCTTAACCTCTTTAAGTTGGGGACATATTAAAACTGTCATCTTCCTAAACTGTGATTTTAGATATAGTCCGTGGAAATAAGTATTTTCTTAGCAGTGTTCAACAAAAAATAAATGCAAACGATTTTTATAATAATTATAATAGGTATTGTAAACATACATAAAAACTAAGACATGAAATATCTATTGTACTTTACTCTAACTTCATATATATTATTAGTACCTATCATAAATATTGTCAGTACTTGACATATTTGATTATATTAAACTATTTAAAAATATTTAAGTAAAGAATTGAGCTTTGAGAGAGCTAAATTGTGATAATATCTTGTGACATTGCATTGAAAGGTTTTAAATTTTCTTACAGATTGAATTGATAGTCAAGAACTATGGCTGCAAGGTCTATTTTGAGGAATTTGAAGAGTCTACATTCCATCACTTTCAAATGCTATGGCACCTGGAGCAGATCAAGACATTTCAAGTATATTGGAGCAGGTATCGTGACAGGTCTCGCAGCTTACAGTGCATCCAGCATTACAGTTATAGCAGCGCAGGACAACCTGGATAATTGCATCAGCACTTTCATGTCAACAACTATAACAGATGTGGAGAAGCTGAAGAAGAGCCAGGATAATATGAGAACCAAGATGGAACTATTGGTGATGAAGACGCAAGCAGATTTCTGCAGAGCATTGGAATCACTGGAGAGTGACGGCACCTTCAAAGTGGACCGCTGGACTAGGAAAGAGGGTGGCGGCGGCGTCACTTGCGTGTTGCAAAACGGGCAGGTATTCGAGAAAGCCGGCGTTAACGTCTCCGTGGTGAACGGCGTGTTGCCAGCAGGCGCTATCCAGCAGATGAGAGCACGCGGCAAAAAGATGCAGGATTCAGTGACGTTCTTCGCGGCTGGCGTGAGTGCCGTGATTCATCCGCGCAACCCCATGATCCCGACGATTCACTTCAACTACCGTTACTTCGAGGTGGAGAACCAGGATGGCAGCACTCAATGGTGGTTTGGCGGCGGCACCGATCTCACGCCGTATTACTTGAACGAGGAGGACACCCGGCATTTTCACAAGACGCTGAAAGCCGCCTGCGACAAACACGATCCGTCGTATTACGCCACGTTCAAGGAGTGGTGCGACAATTACTTTCACATCGTGCACCGGGGAGAACGACGCGGCGTGGGCGGCATATTCTTCGACGACCTCGAGACGCCGAGTCAAGAGGAGGCGTTCCAATTCGTGAGCTCGTGCGCTGAGGCGGTCGTCCCGTCGTACATTCCCCTGGTGAAGAAACACAAGGACGACGGCTACGGGTATCACGAGAGGCAGTGGCAGCTGTTGCGCCGTGGCAGATACGTGGAGTTTAACCTGATCTACGACCGCGGCACCAAGTTCGGCTTGTACACACCCGGCGCGAGATACGAGAGCATACTGATGTCGCTACCCTTGAACGCCAAGTGGGAGTACATGCACGAACCAGAGGCTGGTTCCAAGGAGTCGCAACTTCTGGAAGTGCTTAGGAATCCGCGAGACTGGTTGGGCGAAGCGAAACCAAAATCTTGAGAACGTGTAAACTAACATAACGCAGAAATGTATGTTCTCAGGAATTTGAAAAATTGATTGGGCAAAACAAAATTGAAATCACGAGAACGTACAAGATGAACAGTAAAAAGAATATTAAAGATTTCCAACGATGAGAAGGAATTTTGCAAATTGAGTTAGCGAATATATAAATATATATTCTGGATCATACATGGGATTTAAATGATTATTGGAAATCCAATCATATTTTATTAGAGCTTTAAGGTTTGGAAATTGAGGGGCTTTCATAAAGTATTAAGTATTGTATAAATATGTTGGGGATAATGTATAGAATAAACTCTGGTCTTGTACAATATACATGTATAATTAGTCACTTGTACAATCTTATTTTATATATATAATTTTATATATATATATATATATATATATATATATATATATATGTATATGTATATGTATATTGTGAACTTTATATAATTTCGAAGAAAATCAGTATATAAAAGTAAAAATAATATAATAATAAAGAATTAGTATAAAGTCTCTCAAGTCACTTCAATGCGCTTCAACGAACTAAGTTTGTTCATCTTAAAAAAAAAAAAACATAATCAAACGTTATTTACAATATAATATTGCGCATCGTAGCCGCGAAGAATTTTTCGTACAATTAAAGTATTACATGCATATGCATTTACGCAAAAAGTCGGTGGTAATCGTACTCGCAAGAGGAAAGCATGGCGTTGTCGCCGATTTTTCTCGCCGAGTTTTCTTCTTGCTAGTTTCACGGATTAAATTCCTTAATATTCAGTCTTCGGTTTATAGAGATTCCATTTCTATCTGTCAGTTTGTTTTTAGGCAACTATACAAAACAAGTATCATCTTCGCAAGATGACACACGATATCATACTCGTCTTAGGAATATCGCAAAGGAACGCGTGTAAAATTATGCGGAGAATAACTGTTACAAACCGTTGCGAGTGACAATCGTTGGATGGATGTTTAATTGGTGGTGTTTGTAAAGAAATGGACGATTCACAGCCAAAATGATTTTACAGTCAGCTTCGCATTACCATAAATTCAATAAATTGGCATACAGCGAATAGTATCATGAATAACAAAGTTCCGAAACGGTACTGAACATTGACGGTCCAGCTTCTTTTTCTTCTTCTATTTGAAAAGTGTCGAATTCGCAATTTCTGCTTCTAGTTACGTAATGCTTATATTAGTTAAAACCAACCGTGAAATTCGATTAAAGATATTTCATATATATGAACACTAAATTTTTACTATGTACAAATTCTTTAAATAATTGTGCATTCTTAAACGCGCTATAAATAGTATTAGGAGCATCGCGTGTTTCTTCAGTTTCTTCAGTTCTCAAACAAAATATAAAACACGAACATGTACCGTACAGGATGTTGTTACTGGAACTGGCACGGAAATATAACTTGTGCCATAACTTCTTCTCATAGGCTGCTCACACTACTAATAGTTATTACTTGAAACTCGTCTCAAATGAAATACTCAGATTTGAACTCAGAATTAGGTGAGTTTTTCAATAGAATTACGATTACAGATATAAATGTCATATATATCATAATTCAACTAAAAAACTTGAAAACATCTAATTCTGAAAAAAAATCTGAGTTCCGTATTAACGATTGAAACTTATCTCAAATTAGATATTCAGATTTGTATTAATAGTTGTCACCTAAAACTTATCCCATGTAAGATACCCAGATTTTTATTCAAAATTAGATCCAAGTTTTTAAGTTGTATTATGATATATGACATTTATATCATTTATATATATGACATTTATATCTGTTATTACGATTCAATTGGCGAATTCTCATCGAATCCTACATTAAAATCTGAATATCTCACTCAAGACAAGTTTAAAGTAACAACTATTAATACAGGATTTAGGATTAAATGCGAGTTTTCCGATTGAATCGTAATTACAAATGTAATGTCACAAACACATTACACGATCCAAATAAAAAACTTAAATCTAAATTTGCATTTCAAAGTGTCCTTTTTGAGAAAAATTTTGTCAAAAATCTATAGATATAGTTGTATATACTATAGATCTTCTATAAAATTTTCTTCAAAAAGGATATTTTTTGAATGCCACCTAAGCTGAGACCTGAGTACTTCACGTAGAACAAGTTTCAAATAACGACTATTAACACGGGCCATTAACGACTATTAACAATGTCTCACATGAGACAAGTTTTAAGTAATGATTATTAATATAGGTCCAAAGTATCGTACAAATCGAACGAAATAGAGTAACGAAACGCTAGTTCCTTAATTCTATGCAGTCTATGAAATGATGCGCGAAAATATATCGACATACTGTCGGTGTGGTGTATACGCGAACACGAAACGACCTATCTTACGCATATTAAACGCTCGTTTCTTTCTTAACAACTGGCAGACGGCTCACCGGTTCATCGTCCAAGTAGATCTCGCCGGTGTCAAATTGCCGTGCGTCGCTCGGCCTCGTGAGCTCGTGCGCGTTCGCCTCGTCGTTCGGCGAGTCGAGATTATTGATATCGTACAAGCCGCCGATCGAGGACGCGATATCGGCCAGGGAACTGAAGTTCTTCCCGAGAAGATTCTTCGACTCAGGCAGAGTGACATTGTGATCCACGCGCGGCAGCTGCGGGTAGTCGCCGAGCGCGCAAGAGTTGTTCGCTTCCAGGCTTTTATCGGAGACGCAATGAATGTTCGCCAGGGAGCAAGCGTAAGGAGTCTCCGTGGACACGCATGGGTGATCACTGGTCAAGCTGTTGATTTCGAAGAGAGATCGTTCGGAGTGATCGAACGATCCTCGCGATTCGACCACTCGTCCGCACAGGTTCGAGCTGGTCGTGCTGCTCTGCGTGTCCGCGAGTGACGGCTGCTTGGGGTAGCCGTGGCGATGCCTCGCCACGCTCGCCAACGACGCGATGTCGTTCAACGAGTTGCAGTAGCTATTCGTCAACGGCCTTGTGTGCTCAGACGGCAAGCAGTACATGCTGCTGGAGAGATACAGGCGCGCCGACGCGTCCGTCCTCGACGGGCACTCCGCATCCGACACGACGTCGTCGTCGAGCTCGTTTACGCTCGGGCACCTCATGCGCGAACGGCAGTCCTCTTGCATCGCGCTTGCCTCCGCCGCGCTCTCGCAGATCTCCGGCAGATTGTGGTCGCTTCGCTCGCTGGTCATCTGCGTCATCGTATCGATCTCCGAGCTGTACTCCAAGCTACACTGCTGCGAGACGTTGCGCAGGTGCCACTCCTCGTCGGTTTTCACCTCCGCGTCAGAGTCCTGCGTCGTCGTTCTCTTCGACTGCGGCGTGCCGCGCGCCGCGTCAGGCATCGCGACGTTCTCGCAGGGATGCTCCTGTTGCGCGCTGTTGTTGTTGATCTTCTTGACGTTGCGCATCAGATTCTCCTGGCCGATGACGAAGCGTATCGGGATGTTCCGCTCCTCGGACAAGCTGCCGCCACTGTCCGACAGTATGTTCACGTTCTTGATGTCGTTGATGGGGTTCAGCTCGACGTGTATGTTGGTGTTGTTCACCTTGGCGCTGCTGCTGAGGATACTGCGTTCCAGGCTGTTGTTGATCTTCACGGTGGGCCGCGGCACGGAGATGCAGCTACCGCCATCGCTGGTGGCTCCGCCGTCGCCCTGCTTCCTCGGCCCGAGATTATTCTTCTTCGTGTGCCTGCGTTGCTTCTTGAAGAACTTGCGGGCGACGCCGCTCTGGTGAGGGTTGTAGAACATCTCGACGCAGGCCGACGTCGGCTCCGTATATGTGGTGACGGAGTTGTTGGAACGGTACTGTTGACGGTGCAGCACCACCAGATTGACGTTCCCCGCCGTCTTCACGTTTGCGGGGACAGCGGTCACGACATCGCGGTTCACCGCTGCCAGATCCGCGAGTTTCGAGCCGCCGTTGTAGATCCGCGATCTGTTGGTGTTCCTTGATGAGGTGATGGAGTTCGAGTCGGATATCGCTTGCGTGGCTTGTGAGTTCGAATTCAACGGCGGCGACTGGACGAAGTTCTGCACCAATGGCTGGGTCGGAATCGCAGCGTTCGCGTCGCACACGCTTCTCGTGCGGCAGCAGCGGTTCTTCCGCTTCTCTAGCCAGCAGCGCATCCGCAACCACTGACTGCGCACGTCGTTGCGCGCGATCCCGTAAAAGAACAGCACGAACACGCCGAGCGAGCTCGCGGTGACGGCGTACAGCACGGCGAACAGCGTCTCCGCGAATGGTACGTACGTGTCGAACGGCTTGACTGTGACCGCGGCTGCGTCAGCCCAGCATAGCAGGTACAGTATCAGCATGACGACCTGGCCCTTCCACTGCGTAAACTGCGAATGTTCCGCGTCCTCAATGTCGGACGAGACCGTCTGCGTGCTGTGCACGCTGTTCCTGTCGCCGGAGGGATTCGCATTCGGTTCCAGCAGCTCCAGGTCCATGTTCTCCGTGGCTTGAGTGCCCTCGGACAGCTGCGCGTTCGTGTCGACATTCTGAATCGCGCGTTTGATGAGCAAGAGGAAGATCAGCAAGTACGTGATCAAGATCCCGGACGGTATGAAGAGCGCAGCGAGCGCCGGTGCAGACGTGAGGAAGCAGTGCGAATAGCCGGCGTACTCGCGCAGGTTGATCGCACCGGATATCCCGCAGATGATCAAAGCCACGCCCCAGCCGACCAGGTAGAGTCCCAACAATGGCTTCGGTATAGGCTGGTCGGGAAGCTCGTCGTCCGGTATCACGTTGAGGCCGGGTTTCGACAACTTTTTATACATGTTGCTGAAACGAAAGGGCCTCGATTAGCGCGAGAGATTCGTTTCCTTGCAATTTTGCGCAAGGCGCAAGGCTTTTACCTGGCAGATACCGCCATCCACAGCAGGCAACACAAAGATAAGTAGTGTAGAGCGAGACCGACACCTTGACAGATCTCGATATGTTCCGTCTGCTGAATGCCGATGCTGTACAAGAACGACAATAGCGCCATGGCGAACCAGGTGTTGATGACCGAGTGCTTCGCCTTCTTGGGCATCGTGATGGACGTATAGGAGATGATATACGTCACGGACATGATCATCAGACACGTTATCGTCACGAAACTGCCGATGTATATCGCCGGGTGCGAATACCTGAATTTCGCCCCGTGCATGCTGCAAGTTGTATGTACATATAAGACAGTAAAGTCAGCGCGAGAGAATGTTCTGCAAAAAGCATTAGATTGGTGCAAAAGGTCGTCGTGTTTGGCGGATGAAATAGAAAAGGAAATTATCCGATCTCAAAGAGGATTAATAACTTTGACAAATAAAATGAACTACATTGAATCGGTATTTTTGTAGACGTCTAACAAATAATTCCCCTTTTTGTGTTTATATTGTGTAATATTGTGTTTATTTTGTGTAATATTGTGTTTCACTCTAACTTATTGTACCAATGTGTGTCAGTTCAAGCAGTTTAGCTAAAAAAAAAAAAAACAAACCTTATTAATATTTATCAGTGTCAATAATATTTCCAATTATTTATAAAAATGACGAATCTTTTACATCATTTTGAGACTTCTGGCTCCTTGCCACGAAATTGATGATGTCAGAGGCGAAAAATACACCATGAAAATTTTTGCAAAATAAAAAAGTGATAAAAGTTTAAAAAGATATACCCATAAAAGGACGCAATCGATCGGGTATATCTGTAAAATTATCCAAACACTTTCCTTTTGTTCGATTAATCAATAAATTACCACAAAATTAGAGTGACCTACCTTTTTAACCTATATTTCCTCATAAACGTTAATTCCTTTTTCACGTTAATTTTAGTTATTTATTGATTGTTAGAACAAACGGAAAGTGTTCAGACTATTTGACACATCTGCTCGATCGATCTGCTCGTGTCATTTTGTGAATACGTCTTTTTGCTTTTACGTATTTTGCATTGATATTTAGCGTATACTTTCTCGCTTTTGACGTCATAAATTAAAATAGACGCGGCGGAGAGCCGGCTCCTCATAATACTTATAGAAAAAGTTTCACACCTGTTCCCGTTCATGTCGAGATGCGAGACTTCTTGCAAGAGCCCATAATACCCCAATCTGTCGCAGTGGAAGACTATCAAGTTGTTCAACAAGTTCGTCAGGTGACATCCATCGCTGGTCCAACCTCCCACGTTGTTCAACGTCTCGTCCCATACCACCGGCCTCGGTCTTTTCCCGTTGTAATGATACAATGGCGCCTTCAACATCACGTAGACTGGCTCCGAGAGATTTCTCATTAGCGTTCCAACTATAGAAAAAGAAAGAGAAGAATAAAATGACACAAGTTATGCGGAGGAAGCGAAAGAGTCCCGCGCGCTGTGCTTTCCAACTTACTCAATTTACTGCCGACTACGCATGTCGATATGTCCATGCTGTCGTTGACAACTGTCTTGGGAAACAGTCTGCTGTCGCTGTACATGGATATCATGAGCTGATAAGCTACCGCAACGTCCAACGTGTGTTGCAGCAACGAGGCGGGCAGCTGAATGGAAGCTTCTATCACCTTATCGTTCGCGTTGATCGGTGTCGTCCTGTTGATCGTCGTGCAATGCAGAAACCTCGTATCCGAGTCCGTGGTGGTGCTGTCCGTGACACCCGCGACGTTTGCGTACCAAGTGCACGTCAAACCGCCGAAGTTATCGCGCTTTACGCGAAACTCCTCGAGCGCCATGTGCTTCTTGTGGGACTGTATAGACGGCGTGAATTCCGTTATGCGCTCGATGGCTTTGATCAGCCTCGTGCAAGCTTTGAAATTCATTTCGGCTCGTCTCAGCGTCTCTTTCGACAATGTCATCATCGAGCTGATGATGTCGACCAACATCGGACCGAGTTCTTTCTCATCTACTAAAAAGTTCAGATAATTCTCTATCGTTCGCACTACGAAATTCACCTCGACCGGGTCTGTCAGTTTCACCGAACCGTTCCCCGTGTAATTCTTGAATCGCTTCGCTGTCTCCAGCAGACTTCCCTTCGTCAGTGATAGATTCACCTTTGAGAATTGTTCGAGGATCTTCGTCGTGTGAGATATGTACGGACACGACTCTGTATTCAGATGTTCCCATTGACCGTTCATGTTACAGAGATAAGAAGCTTTCAACGGCAGTTGCATCAGGCCCGACAGGCGACTCCCTTCGCACGGTAATTCCGCTTTCCATCCTACTATCGTTTTCGGCCATGTGTAGACACCTTTGTTGTTCTTAGTCACTGAAAGAAGATCGCGCGATCAACATCTCTCTTCCATTATGAAAAAGAAAAAAAAAACAGCGTAGATTTACCTGCCAGAGGACAATATTGCGTGTGCTCAGATATCACAATCACACTGACCGCTTTCGACTTGTTGCCGTTCACGGAAACTAGCAAACAATTCCATTGTCCGTTGTGCTCCTCTTTAACTGGAACTATACTGAGAGCACTGAAAAAGGACATATCTACCAAAGTTGGGTAATGTTTCTCTTCCTGCTTTTTGAAGTTATTTGCAACCAAGATCCTGTTTTCTCCTTCTCCTTTTTATATTATTTATAATTAAGAGTATCTTGTAGGCTTAATTTACTTGTTGATTATATATCGGAAAGATCGTTATTTATTTTTATCTAATTTAAGTTTGCGAAAAAGCGCATTACCTGTCTACGATGCCGCTATCCGAAAGATATCTATTGTCCACTCTGATGTTAGGCAAGTTCGCTCGTGGATCTTTGTAAGCGCTTAGATCCACGACTTCGGCGGATGCGTTAGGATACCACAGCCAATTTAGTCTGGCTGACTTGTCTATCGTGATGCTGGGCGCCCTGCACTTCAACGTGATCGAATCACCGGCGAAGACCACCTGATTCTGAACTGGTCGTATCTCGATAGCTGGTGATATCCACTGACACTGCAGTTGCTCCAAGAATTTTATCTTCTTCACTGGCTGCCCTTCGGCGTACTGCGGCGACATGCACTTTGGCGGTGGGCTAAAATATTAAATCGTATGTAAAACCAACCTTAAAAAGTAACGTTACAAAGTAACATTAAAAGTAACATTAAAAAGTAACGTTACAAAGTAACATTAAAAGTAACATTAAAAAGTAACGTTACAAATTTCTTTACAAATTCTTGTTAATTTTTTTCGTTTATAATAGAAACAATTACATAATTACATTTTTGTTCTTTGGTAAAGATACAAAAATATTTTGTCTACCATTATTTGAATACAAAGGAAATTGTAAGTGTATAATTATGGTATACATTACTTTAGTTTAATTGACGAATTATAGACCCAATTACTAAACCAATATAAGTCGCAATTGCATTTCCAAGGATTATTAGACAGGTCCCTAAAATAAAAATCACGTTATTAATTTTATATATTCATCTTGTTTTGCTATTATGATTTATTCATGATGTGTGTGAAAAAAGATATTTATATAAATTGAATTACTCACAGCTGCTTTAACATGTTGAGTCCATGGAATGTTCCTTCTATTAATGTGGTTAAACTGTTTCCACTTAATTTCCTAAAATATACAGATATAAGCTCATAGGATATATTTTTACATAATAATGACATAAAAATAGAATACAATAAGAAATGTATTAGTAAAATCAATGTATGCTAGCATAAATAAAAAATGCTTCAACTTACAAGCGATCTAAGGCCAGCAAATCATGAAATAAGGATGGCACCAGAGCTGTTATTTTATTTCCAGACAAATCGCTAGCAACGAAGCAAAGAACATATAAAGATAAAAAGAAATATTTTTGAAAAAGAAATTGTAAATAATTGTTTAAAATATCGAGACTTACAGACGTTTGAGGTTTAATAATTTCTTGAATGCATAGCTGTCTATTGTTGATATCTGATTCTGACTTAAATCTCTGAAATCAGAATTGTTATGAGGCTATAGAACATTCAGAAAAAATACCTGAAAGTTAACTGTCACGAATTCTTACAGTCTTTCCAAATTTTCAAGGCCATTGAAACAACCTTCGCCTATAGTGCTAATTTTGTTCTTGGACAAATCAAGTCTTTTAAGATTTGTTAAGTTCACAAATATGTCCGCTTGTATAATGTAAATGGCATTTTTACTTAAGTCCCTGCAATTAATTATTTTTAACTTCTTGTCATTAAAAATATATATCTAGGAATGTAGAATATATAATCTTACAGTTGTATGAGTTCTACGCTAACTCTATTGATATCCACATCCTTGATTTCTTGTAAGCGATCACCACATTTCAGACGCAACCACTCAGCTTGAGCACCAACTGGTTTGCATGAACAATGTTGCGGACATAGTTGAATTGTGCTGCTCCACATTTGAAGTAAAATTACAAACAAAAGGATGGCTCTCATGATTAAAGAAGGATGGCCTTTAATCTGGGAAATGTACAAATTTATATTTTAAAATTATATGACCAAAGATTTGTAGTCTTAATGTAAAAAAACAACTGCGAATGTTTATTTCTGAATTATATAAGTGCTTTTAATAATTTTATCAAGGTATCAGGATTTTTTAAAAGTTAAAAAGTAGAAAACAAAATAAACGAAATATATAAAAGAAATATAACAAAGTGTCACTTTCAGAAAAAAATATTGATAGTTAATAAGTGTTATTTTTTGTTATTACAAAATTAGTAATTAATATATACAAAAAATGAACATCAGAAAGTACTCACGGCCCGAGGAAAGATCGTGACTCTTACATTGTCGACGACCAGATTTTAAATAGCCGCATTTTATTTGGGGTAGTTTATGTATTATTGACGCTGCGCTAACCAAAGAAAATTAGGCAGAGGAGAATCTGGCACACAATGATTGCAGCACCATCTATCGAAAATTACTCATAGCCAATCAATATTGTCGCGTTGGTAGCATTAAAAATTTTATTTTAAATGAATTTGTCACTTTTTAATTGAAATAAAAGCAGCGTCTCTTAATCGTGAAAAAGATTCAAAGAGTTGTAATTTCCGTAAAAACAATGATAATAAAGTTGTTTAAGGATCTACTGAAGTCGTAGTGTGTGGAGACCTCTCGTGAAAAGCCGCGAGATAGACAAAAGCATTTTCCATATCAAAATATAGAGAAAATCTCCTTGGGTTGCTTTCAGATTCCACACCCGGGTGTATTCTATTACTTGTGCTATAGTATATGTAACATATAATATAGTGTTTCTAGTAATAGAGTGCACCCGGATGAAGAATCTGAACGCACCGGTTGAAAGTTTTATTTAGATACAACTATCTAGTATCTTTAAGATTCATGAGAACTCAATGCTGTCTCGTACATATATGTAATACTACTATGGTTGCTTTCCAACAAGAGACACAAGTCGATACAAACATCATTCTATCTTTGTTCCATATTTAGTGAGAAAGATAGGTATATACTTAGTGAAAAAGATAGATGATACTTGTGTCGACTTGTGTCTCTTGTTGGAAAGCAACCATAGTAGTATTACATATATGTACGAGACACAAGTCGATACAAACATCATTCTATCTTTGTTCCATATTTAGTGAGAAAGATAGGTATATACTTAGTGAAAAAGATAGATGATACTTGTGTCGACTTGTGTCTCTTGTTGGAAAGCAACCATAGTAGTATTACATATATGTACGAGACACAAGTCGATACAAACATCATTCTATCTTTGTTCCATATTTAGTGAGAAAGATAGGTATATACTTAGTGAAAAAGATAGATGATACTTGTGTCGACTTGTGTCTCTTGTTGGAAAGCAACCTATATTGCTAAAGGAGAGAGAAGTCCGGCCCCAGAACCACGGTGCGGAAATATATATTTCTCTCTTTTTCTGAGTGTATTATGAACGTTATGCGCATGCGTCAGATAGATTGTATCGTTTCGTTTATAGTCGAACCGTTCAAAAGTTACAACAATTTAACAAAACGCCTAAGCAAATCACTACAAACAACTACAAACGATTTAGAAACGTTACCCGCTTGCAGATTTGAGATATTTCAAAAAATGGCAAAGTTGGCTCTTACGCATTTGTTAAATTATTGTAACTTTTGAACGGTTCGACTATAAACAAAACGAAAATCACTACAAACAACTACAAACGATTTAGAAACATCACCCGCTTGCAGATTTGAGATATTTCAAAAAATGGCAAAGTTGGCCCTTAGGCGTTGCGCCAAATTATTGTAACTTTTGAACGGTTCGACTATAAACAAAACGAAAATCACTACAAACAACTACAAACGATTTAGAAACATCACCCGCTTGCAGATTTGAGATATCTCAAAAAATGGCAAAATTGACCCTAAGGCGTTTTGTTAAATTGTTGTAACTTTTGAACGGTTCGACTACAAACGAAACGAAAATCACTACAAACAACTACAAACGATTTAGAAACGTCACCCGCTTGCAGATTTGAGATATTTCAAAAAATGGCAAAGTTGGCTCTTACACATTTGTTAATTTATTGTAACTTTTCAACGGTTCGACTACAAACAAAACGAAAACAACTACAAACGATTTAGAAACGTCACCCGCTTGCAGATTTGAGATATCTCAAAAAATGGCAAAGTTGACTCTTAGGTGTTTTGTTAAATTGTTGTAACTTTTGAACGGTTCGACTACAAACGAAACGAAAATCACTACAAACAACTACAAACGATTTAGAAACGTCACCCGCTTGCAGATTTGAGTTATCTCAAAATGGGGTGTTACTCATTTTTAAAATTTTTGTAATTTTTAATGGATGGAACTACAAACGAAATTATTGTTATTACAAACAACTACAAACAAAATGCTAACTTTTTACGTAGAAAAAATTTA